GCTCTCTCCCATGAAGTACCATCGGACACTGAGGTCTTGGCTGATGATACATTTTGGGAAGCTGACCTGGGCTGTGGGGTGGAGTCGGCCAATCGAGTGAAGAAGAGAAAATCACTGATGAGGAGGATACACCCTGCAAGTTTCCTCGGTTAGAGAAGGGTTACAAACTTGGCCCGAGGAGTGCCCGACCAGGCAAAGTCAAATGCCAAGCTGCCTCGGCTGTTATCCAAGCCACTGTCAAACCAGCTCAAGCAACCAATCTGAGGTCGGACACAACCAAAGCTTCGAATAGCTTTGATTTCACTAAGTCAAGTGGTGTCAACGCAAAACAACCAGTCCCTTCAAAACAAAAGGAGTCAGAGGCCGGTCCCAGTCAGCAACCATCTATTGATGTCCCCACCAAGCCAAAACCAAAACCTCGTCCTATCATGAAAGGCAAGGTTTCTACAGGGGAACTCGGTATAGTAACCCGAGAACGGTCGAAAAAGATTGCTGAAGAAAGTGTTCGTTCCACCTGGTCCAAGAAAGTTTCATTCGTCAGTTAAACCTATCATGTTTAATGATGTTAGTCATTCATGCCTGGGTGCGAAATACATAGCATGTTCAATGATGTTAGTCTGTGTCCGGTTTCAGCAGTGTCACTTTTCGTAGTTCATCATGTTTTCCTATCATGAAAGGCAAGGGTTGAAAAGGTGTTCGTTTGACTAATTGAGCCGGGAGGCTTGTCTTACGACCAATTAAATGTGAGCACTATCCGGCAGCGGGTATCTTCAACCGTGCCCGGGTGCAAACTACATAGCGAACCAACCTCGGTCTTGTGATCTAATCTTCTACTTAAACCCTGGTCCATCCCTTTTGTCCCTCCCCTTCCCCTTGTCTGGGATCTCGTCTGGGATGAATGGCCGTAGTCCTTCTAAAGTAGCGTCCATTGCTGCAACCAGATCACGGTCTGAATCGATTTGTTCACGCAACCGGTCTTTCTCCCTCCTCAAGGTGGCCAAAACATACCGATAATGGCTCGTTGTCGCTATGCTGTC